ACAACTTCCCTTCCAGAGATCCGAACCCTTCATGGCACGCCCATGAAGCAAGACCATTACTACTACACCATGCCACCGTTGCAGGTGACGATGCTTCCCCCGCTATTCATGCGCACTGACCGGCGACCGCTCTTGACCTGTGTTTTCCTTCGTTTCAATTCTAACAAACCTTCATAATTCCGTTCAGAGAATCGTTCTGCAAATTTCGAAGGCAGATTCGAGATCAGCGTCCAAAACCACGTCTAGTGAGCTACATCTCCTTACAAATGGCCACTTCGACCTGACGACCTTCCCTAGTAAGAGGAACAACCATGGACTAGCATGGCTCTTCAGCTGAGTCCTAGATAGTGTGACAGACGGTTCTCACATGATGTCATGTATAGTTGTCATCCGGGCAGTCAAGTAGGCGGCCAGAAGCGTGACATTAGTTGATTGCGGCTGGTCGGCACGTCACGACTGCGGCGATCAACTGTTTCCAGCCTAGTTTGGCCATCTTCTCCCTTATTTTCACTCACTTTCTATTTTTTTTTCAAGGTAGGGTTTGTTCTTTTTGCTTTTATGAAGGGTATTAGGACATGGATTCTTTTTTTTGTTTTTTGTAATGAAGTGTTTTCTTGTGATTTCAAGGAATTTATTCGGTTGCTTGTTTAATTGTTTAATTGTTCGCAAAATTAGAAGAACCTCAATCATAATTTACCTTGTGAAGGCAAGGAACACCCAACCTCAAGAATAGCAGCAGAAATAGTGAAAATTAGGGAGAAAATGGCCAAACCAGGCCGGGAACAGCTAACGCGCTCCTGACGCGCCGCAGCCGCGTCGCCACCTTTTGACCGATTAATCAAGTGGCCGGATGACGAGTGCACATGACTGTGCTCGGATAGGGCGTGTCTACGGGCGTAGCTGTGCGCGGAAAGGAATTGTGCGACTGATGACAATACAGTACTTGCTGTTGATATTGGCGCGTTCAGCAGGAACGTTTTCATCACCACTGGTGCTTTCTTCCTCAATCGATCACTATTCAATCACCGTAGAGCAATGTAGCCGGAGCCGGAGGCCATTCCGCTTTCTCAGATGATTCCTGCGCTATTTGGACCGAAGGGACAGATTGGATGAGAAGTCCTTGGTGCACATTTAGCGTGCGTGGTGATGGCCACATGTTTGATCTACAGGGATTAGCCTCCCAACGCTGAGTCGATGCCATGAACAAGTGGGAACCAAGTAAAACGGTCGCACACCAGAGCCAACATTCACTGTCGTGTTACAACCATGTGCGAGTAGATTACCTCCCTCCCATCCGCCCCCCCCCCCTTACAGAGAACGAGCCTATGCTGTGGATTTGTAATCCGCCACTCGGAGCAGACCGCCAGGATATTGGTGTGCTTCACCCTAGAAGAAGTGATCTGCTATCGCTGCTGGCTAAAATCGGCTTGAAAATAGGAATGGTAGTCCGTCCTCAGTGAGAAAAGTTAACTAGTCCGGCGCAGTTCGGCTTGGTGGAGACATTTTGCAGACTCTTCGAATCTGTCATGTGCAGACCTGTAAACTTTTACAAGGCTACGCAATAGCACCAGCTTCATTTACACGTGACGACAGCCTACATGTCCTGTGAGGGTTGCACCTGTATTTTCGCAGGAAGTAACAGGATCAAGCAGACTGCGAAATACCCCCTCCCCTCCCTCGCTTGGCCGAACTGCGTCACTAATTCTGAAGTGATAATAAAAATGGGCCGTTTTGTCTACAGAACGTGGTACGAAAAGCAAAACCGCACCATTTTCCACCTTTGCCGGCTTCTTAGTTTTCTCTTCAGGAGGCTTCTCAGGCGACATCGCTGAAGATTTTTCAGGCGACTTCGGTGACACCACTGGGGACTTCTCAGCCACCTTCTCAGCGGAGCCCTCGGCACTTCCATATTTGACTGCCTCCTTGGACTCTTTGGTTCCCTAAAGAACTGCGTACACTATGAAGTGAGACATTCATCTCCACATACCGATTCTTCCTCGTCTTCTTCTTCGGTTTCAAGGACCGCCGCCGCTTTCTTTCGGAGCCTTTTACCCATCTCCTTACTAGGCAAAACGAAGTTAAACTCTCAAAACGTGACCTACCTTCGGGATGTTTTGTAACCATGGGAATCATGAATTTCTCATCGTCCGAAGTGCCCATAGCAAAATTGGCAGTCGCTGCCCCCTCATTTCGACTGAGTGCCACCTGCAACCGACTCAAATGCAGAATGTAGAAATTTATCTCATACGAAGGCATTCCCGATGTCTTGGGAGTGCCTGTCTATAATCCCAGTAAGGGTTGTATTGTTGTATTGCTGTAACGATCAAGTCATCCCACGATATGTTCCGTAAAGACCCCGACGGATATGCACTAAGCTTGGTCTGCGAGCAGAAGGGCACTGCTTATTCATCAGCTCGAAGGTAACCAGTTTGACAAGTCACTTGAAGCTTTTGAAGTCTCCATGAATTATGTCCCTCGATGCTGCTCCACCAAACAGTACAGTCCCCGGCAGCATTCGAACACCCTTCTCCTACCTACTTTACTCATCGTAACCTTCTACATGTACCCATGTCTATATGCGGTGTAATCAAGGGATTGCGAGCACATAATTGGGAGTTCTATGCATGAAACGCTCATCACCATCGTAACACCACTACCGATTGATAACGCAGTATCAACCAGCTTCGTATTAGTAGTACTAGTATAGAAGTATAGTACTATGTATGTTCTCTCAGGGTAGTTTTTGTTTAAATTGTCCTTGTACACACACAATTTCGTTGCGTATTAAATACACTATTAGGTTGTCGCATAAGTTCTTATACACGTGTTTGATCCTCTCCTATTTCGTTCGCATGGATGTTGGTATTACGTCATCACGTGTGCGTGACGTGTACATTATACTCTTTCATTACACTAGCTATCACTCACCGAGCTTGCATTTGCAGTACACAATGTCGCACAATTTGCACTGTGACAAAACGTACCTGCGCCACTGTTTGGTTTTGCTCCACGATTTCGGCTGGAATGCAAAGGAAGCCCATACCAAGCTGGTGGATACATACGGTGAGGACGTCATCTCTTACATGACATGCAAGAATTGGTTCGCCAAATTCAAGAAAGGAGACTTTTCTCTCGAAGATGCTCCGAGGTCGGGTCGGCCGATGGAGTTGGATTTGGAAGTACTACGTTCCACCGTGGAGGAGGACCCGTACCTCACCACCAGAGAAATGGCGACCATGCTTAGCTATGATCATTCGACGGTTGCACGTGGACTAGAAAAGCTCGGCAAGGTAGCAAAGCTTGGTCGATGGGTCCCACATGAACTGTCCGCTTATGACCTCTCGAGGAGGGTGACCACCTGCACTTCTCTCCTCACTTTCCAAAAGAGGCTTCACTTTCTCAACTCGATGATCACTGGAGATGAGAAGTGGGTCCTCTACGATAACCCTGTGAGGAAGCGGCAGTGGGTCGACAAAGGAGAACAGCCAGCCAAAGGCCGACCTTCACCCCAAAAAGGTTCTCCTGTCCTGTTGGTGGTCCAGAAGAGGCATGGAGTACTGGGAGCTGCTGGAGAAGGGACAGAGACGATTGACGCTTCCACATACGTGACCCAGCTGCGGAAATTGAAAGATCACGTCGACCGTACTCGTGGAAGGAATGCGGAAATCTACTTCCACCATGACAACGCCCGACCTCACACTGCAAAGGCGACCCAGGCCGAGCTGGAGAAGTACGGATGGCTGATGGTCGCCACCCTCCCTACAGCCCTGACCTCGCTCCTTCTGACTACTGGCTGTTCAGCCACCTGCAGCGCTATCTGGACGGAAAAAAGTTCGAAACAAAGGATCAGGTCAGAAAGGCGCTCGACGACTTCTTCAAGTCCCAGCCCCGTCGTTCTGGAAGGATGGAATCGACAAGGATGGAATCGACAAGCTGCCTGAGCGCTGGCGTCGAGTAGTGAATGGTGATGGTGCATACCTCTAATCTCCAGGCTGGTTCTTTTTGAGATATTTACAAAAAAGTCGTGTATAAGAACTTATGCGACAACCTAATACTAACCAGCTTCGTCACTTGGTGGTGTGCGTGGCTGTGTATCTGCCTGTCTATCTGTGTGTGTCACAAATTTATAGGGTGAATCACGGCAGCAGTATGGTATGGATAGTGCCGGGGTTCCAAAAAGTTAAATAGGGGTGGGGAATTTGCGAAAAACACAACAGAGGAGGTCGTACTTTGCTCGATGGAGGAAGGGGATTGCTGATGTATCACTACTACAATGCTCCCTGCTCCGCGCAACGGTAATGTTTTTTGGGAAGATTCGTTGTGAAGGGAAGGAGAAGGAGGTAAGAGGGAGAAGAGAGTACAGAGGAGAAAAATTGGGGAAGGCAAGGGCGGAAGGTTCATCCAAACAACGCGATACTTTGCAGTGGATGGGCTGTGGACAATAACAGCGGGGTCACAGGACGTGATAATAGCTGATAAGTTCTGGTGAAAGGCCTTATAAAGAAAAGATTACTAGACTCTTAACACGTGTGGCAGCAGCAATGATCAACTGCTTCCTACAAGTGATGTAGAGTGCCAGGGCATGGGTGGTTGGTTAGCGAGGTGATAACAACAGTTAATACCTGACAAGGTGAGTTAGAAGTGGAAGGTAACTAAGCGCAGAATTGCGGGTGGCAGTAGCAGTGAGGCGTTGCTTTCAGGAAGTGGTATACGGAATGGTGCGGGGCATTGGCAATTGGTGATAACAACAGATAAAAGATAGCGATAGGCTTGCATGAGAAGTTCACTACTCGGCTGATGACACAACGAAATGAACATGAATCTCAGTGTTCGAAGCACACCTCGTTTCCGTTCAGTCCCTGACCAGCCATGAGATGATATCAGACCGTTAAACTAATTGGAATTCCAGATAAATGGTAGATGTTTACAGAGATGTTATAAGGAGTAGCAGATGGCTTTATCACTGATGATTATCTATCATCAACAACACTGGTGAGCACCATTTGAGGCGTTTCAAAGGCTGCATGCGGGGTGGAACGCTCTCGGGGCGAAGAGTCCATGGAACAGCTCTTCCCTCCTGCGGCTGAAGAATTGTGAAGGTTACAGAAATATGTCGCACAGTCAATATAGAGAAGGGCCAGAATGCCGTTCTCGAGCAGCAGACGTCCCGAAAACTGGTTCCTAAGTGTTACCATACGGTGCACGCGACAGCATGCGTTGTTTTAATTGATTTGATAGACAGAACCGTACTTACCAGTTCGGCTTCATCGAAACTCATATCACCTGGAATATGTGCTTTAAGTGTCGCTTATCCAGCCTCCCAAAAACACAACCCACGACTAGCTGGCGTGTACGATCCCGTCCTTTCACAAGGAAGATGTCCTACTTTTGCCACTTGAATTTCCACTGTTGAGCTAGCTGAGACGGTCGGTCGCACCGTCTGAACCCCATTACTACGATTTGCTATTGCGGCTCATACCAGAGAGGGGAGCGCAAGGTCTATAGAGAACAGAAGAATGAAAAATGCATACATTAGCACGAAAACCAACCTTTCCGCTTTCTCCGTCTGCCTTTCTTCCTTTTTAATGGTTGTGTCGCCTCCTCCTGTAACCGATTTATACGTTCAGAGTAGTCAAAGATAAGGGAAGAATGGGGAGAAAGGGTACCACAAGGTGAGAACAATGCCACGTAATGCCTCCTCAACGTGAGTGCTCTCCCAACGAGTAGGGAGGTGGGCATATGCCCATTCTGAGGCATGGGAAGACAGACATGACATGGGAAATATATCAGTGAAGTGAAAAAGCTTGGGCGCAGCCGCAATGGGCACCCGCAAACTATATAAGTCCCTTTTGGGGAAGTTGGTGAAAAAGATAAGATCAGAAGCTGTACCTTATGGTTAGTTCCAGCTGCCACGTTTCGGCGCAGCGGCCTCCTTCGACTTCTTCTCTTCGTCTTCCTTCGTGCCATCCATCTCGACCTCACCACATAGCAATGATTTTGAACCTCACTCCTCACTATCCTCTTAATAAACATCACGAAATCACTCACAATCATGTATCACGACCCAGTCCTAGTGGTAGTACAATGAGAATGCCTTCCTAAAAAGTACGCGGAGAAGCAAAGTGGATGGAAGGATAAGGTCTTCGCCGTTGATTAAACCCTTTTTGGAATGCGCCACACATTCCACTTCCATTCAGAATTTTAGTGACTCAATGAATGCGATGTGGACTATACAGCTACGACTTGCGGGCTGAGCCGATTGTTAGTGGGTTGGGCACATAAGTAACTCTCGTTTTTTGTTCAACCGGAAATATCGATTCCACAAGATGAATGTTTGCTGGTAGATTAGGCTTGAGTAATCATTCTGAGTAGAGAACTTCACGTAGTTTCAGATATCAAGCCCCGGCTTCCGGTTGGAGTGGAAATAACGTTTGGTTGTGGATTTTTAGGTCGTGAAGTTGAAAGCGAAGTCGGCGAAAATTAGCACCTTCGACAACTGCCTCTATTTACGTATAGTCGAAGTGCTAAAATCGCTTAAGCTGCTCCATACATTTGGAAAAGGTTGAGCTAGAAGTCTCAGCAAGGGAATCTCAATAGGACGCTTTGGAACGAATTTCAAGAATTTTGAAGTTACCAACCTTCACCTCGCCGATATTGGGCAGCTCACGTCTGTTCCACCTGAAATTTTATGCTAATATTTGAATGTTTCGCTGATATGTTTTGCATGTTCTGATAGCAAATTTCGTGCTCTATAACACTGCTATAGAAATCTGTTCTCCAGAGGTGTTTGCTTTCTGTTAAGTTCAGGTTATCATTACGGAACGCGAAGTCGTTGAGAACTAGCGTTCCCGTTCTCCACGAATTTTATGCTAACATTTGAATGTTTCGCTAATGTGTTTTAGTTTTCTGATAGACCAGTATTTTCGTGTTGCCTATAACAATGCGTTGCAGTTATTTTGAAAATCCGTTTATATGAACCTTGTTTTTTCAGGTGGATAATATGGAATGTCAGGTCGATAAGCATCAGCACTTCAGACATCTCCTCCTTTCGTGCATTAAAGACACATGGAAGCTCCATAACACATTGAGGGGTCGTATGAGACACAAGCCGCCCCCAAGCTGTCCGATGTGTTCGTGGTCCCCGACCGCTCAAACATGCC